TGAATTGACCTTAGTTACTCACTTTCAAAACATACTTTAGGACTGGAAGTGGTGCTACTCTAATTCTCAAGTCTAGGTTTTAAAAGATAATGCACTTTTATCCTGGCTCTTTGGAATGCTTATCCTTGTGATACAGCCATCCTGATGTGAGGAAGCTCAGGCCACATGGTTGGTACCAAATGGAAATAAGTTAAGCCCCCCATTCTCCATCCCAGCTGAGCTCCCAGCCCCAGCTAGCACCAGCCTGCAGGCCTGTGAGTAAATTGGAGCTGAAAATTTTGGAAGTGAACACTCAACCTTCCATCTAGCTTCCCCAAGAGAAACCACATGGAACAAGGACTAACCTTCCCGGATAAGCTATGTCCAATTTGCAGAGCTGAATGCAAAATGAATGATTGTTTTCCTGTAAGTCACTATTCTGAGGCAGTTACAGATCAACAGTAACAGGAATAATCTTTACATTAATTTCTGCTTCCTCCTTTTCTTAACTTGGTCCATATCAAGTAATGCTCCATCCTTGTATTGCCAATTTGTAAATCAATACTTGTTGATAATGAATGAAAATATATAGCAAACAAGTATAGTTGGCATTTATGATGGACAAATTAATATAGGCTAGACCTTATTTATACGCTTAGCATGTATTAATGCTTACAGTTCTACAAGGAAAAATGTCTGTTTTATTCCTATTTTATAGGTAAGAAAATGGAGACACACAGAAAATAGGTCACTTGACCAAAACCACACAACTAGGGTGCCCAGGCCAGGAATGGAGACATTTCTATCCTATGTCTCTGATCATAACTATTGTACCTCTCTGCTTCTTATTACTGGCATCTTCTACTTTAGCTTTTCACTTACCATTAGCTCTAGACATCCTCTTCACTTCCCAATTCTAGCCTTGACCTTCAATTGAGGCAATGTCTTACTCCTACTCAGCAGGACACAATCTAAATTTTGCCTCTAAATGTCAGATTTACTTAGAGGTCAAGAAATCTATAGTGCATGGGCTGAATCTACCCTGCTGCCAATTTTCTGCAATAAAGGTTGTTTTTTTGTGTGTGTGTGTCTGTGAGGGTGTTTGTGTCTTTAACACAGCCACTTTGGTTCATTTATTTTTCATGCAGCTGCTTTTGTGCTACATGACAGAGGTGAAGAGTTGTGACACAGATCATATAGTCCACAAAGCCTAAGGTACTACCACTTGTTCTTTTCAGAAAAAAAAAAGGTTGCTGGCCTCTGACTTGTGTCCCTGAACATGGCCTTGTTAATGAATTCATGACATGTTATAAAAAAGGTATATATGTCCCTGAGAGATATAGACAGACAGACCTGGACCAAAACCCAACTCTGTTACCTGAGTGATCTCAGAAGACTCTCTTAACACTTCTGAATCTTAGCTTTATTTTTCAAAAATTGGGGACCATACTAAGATATCTGTCTTAATGGATAAATTCTAAGATAATGCAAAAACAAAATATTATTAATATTGAAGAGTTTTATCAATCTTTTGAATTAGATCAAAATTTAGCAGCCCATGCAGGGGCAAATGAAATAAAATATGCTTAATGCTCAATTTTAACAAACATTTGTCACCATTAGGGGACATAAAGAGAAGGCAGTATTAACTGTTTCTGTTGGGAGTTAAGACCTGGGTGGAAATTGACCAGTGAAAGTCTGACCAATGCGGTCAAAGATGTCCAGATGCTACAGGTGGAGAGTTTTCCAAAACCAAATTGAGATTGATTAAATGTCAAGGTTTAAAGGAAGAACTTCTGGTTGCTTGTTGAGCTAAAGGACTAATTCTATCTTCTCCACTATAACTAATATTTTTTCTTTGAGAATGTGAATAAATTTATAATCCCAAAGGTAGAGTGATTTGACCTGATCGAAAATATTTTCCCCACATCTGTGGATGTCCAACTTTTAGCAAGCTAGTTATTTCATTGTTCCAACAAAAATTATCTAATATTTTTGGGGTTGAGATTTTTTTAAGCAGATCTAAGTATCTGAATCGACTATTTTCAGTTCTTTGGAGAAGTAAGCAGTCACATTCTAGTATCTTGAGGGAATTAGGAGAACTGAGTTTTAGGAGGGAGAATTTGGGGGATCCACACTTTTTCAACATTGTTTCTGGGAGACTTCTATCCTTTTTTTAAAAAAAAAAAATTGTTTAGTTGTAGATGGACATAATACCTTTATTTTATTTATTGAAGTGGTGCTGAGGATTGAACCCCGTGCCCCACACATGCAAGGCAAGCATGCTACCACTCAGCCACAACCCAGCCTGAGACTTCTATCCTTGGGGTGCAAGGCATGACATCAGTGCCTGGGGAAGCAGGTCAGCTTTGCGGGTCCTGTTTGCTTGTCTGGCTAAGTGTGGGGTGGCATGCAGAAGAGTGGGAAACTATGCTCTGAGAAAGGAAGTATGGAACTGACACAAGGGTGCAAGGTGAGCCAGAGGCAGGATGCTGGATCCTGACGAGGTAGCAGAGTGAGCGCCATCGACCACCATCCTCATATTGCTGTGTGGATTCTGGGTTTCTTCACTTGTGTTTCTTTTCTTTCCCAGTATTTTTTTTTTTTTACTTGTCACACACAAAGGGCATTGAAATGCCAACCTGACCCAACTGAAAGGCCTGGAGATAGGAAATTGTAAAAGAAGATAATGATTTGACACTGTGGAGGTGACTGGAGACTCTTGTGCTTCACATTCCTGTTTAACCTTTTAACTAGAAAAAGGTATTCACTTAGTAGACACATTCTGTTTTACAGAGAGAGGGAGGGATAGAGGGGAGAGAGATATTGAGAGAGAGTTTTTTTTTTTTTTCTCAAATCATAAAGGCACGTTTTTGGAGTCATACCATTCCAATTCATTAGTTCCTTAAAGAAATCACAGATCCTTAAAGTGGAAAGTTTCTTGAAGGTCACTTTGTTGCAATTTATACTCATGCAAAACATTTATGTATAACTACCAAAATAGGTTTATTTATTCATTCAACAATATTCATCGAGCATGACCTATCACCGAGTATGGATCTAGGCACAGTTCTGAGCAAAAGAAATGAGAATTTTTGTCTTTGTGGAGACCTGCTCAGATTCTGGGGCTTGGTCATTTCCAGTGATTAAGAGGTGAAGGTTTATATGGGGGTTAATCATTTCTTAAGATTTTCATTTAACAAACTATTTTGGAGCCATGTTTTGAGCACTTAATGCTTTTAATAAACTTAGAAAGTAGACGCTTTTATTATCATTACCCCTCTTCTACAGATGATCAAACTGAGGTACAAGGTGTTTAAAGAACCACAGTTAAGACTGCACAATTGCAGCAATGGTCCAGGATTTGACCCCATGGTCCATGTCTGCTGTTCATGTTCTTTACCACTAGGCTGCACTGCCAGTATTTGTCTTGCTTATATTTATGACTTGGTTCCATTTTTCCCAATGTTTCTGCCCTTTATTCTAAAATATTTGGCACCCTTATACTTCTCACTCTTGAGATTTTTCTACTGGATACTCCAATCTGCTAGAAAAATCCTTAGTCTCTAGAATAGTAGGGTTTATATAGGATGAGGCAGCACCTCTTTCAGAGGGGTGAACCTTACTTGTCTCACCAATCTCTCTACAGAAACAAAAGGGCAGTACCTGCCCCATGCTAGGTGGTCAACTAAGTGAGAGCTGTTGATATGGTTTCACAAGTTTCTGACTCCTGGATGTCTGAAATTTCCTAGGTTCCCTTCCTTCCTTCAGCTCAAACCTGTGATCTAGGGTAGGGATCCAGTCAGACTTTGGGGGACAGGGTTTAAAAATTTCCCTGAAAGTAGTTTTCATAAATGGGAGAAGACCTCGTAAGATTGAGAAATGAGATATTGTCATCATCGACTATGAAACAATGGAAATGGGGAAAAGGATGAGAAAGAGGATCTGGGAGCTCTGAAAATTCACTCACATGGGGCCATTTTTTTTTTTTTAAATGTAGTGGGAATAGAAGCCAAGGCCTCACACATGGATTGGTGAGTCCTCTACCACGGAACTGCATCCCCAGCATTTTTAAAAGTTTTTTTTTTTCATCTTGAGGCAAGGACTCTCTAAGTGGCCCAATTTGGCCTTAAACTCGGGATCCTCCTGCCTCAGCTTCCTAGGATTACAGGTATGCACCATCATGCTCAGTTTACATGAGGACAACTTAAAGGCTCCCTTCCACAGTAGTTCTGCTTGTTAGCCACTTCACCCTTGCAACAAGTAGAAATAAAACTGCTCCACCTTGGTAGGTTTCTTCCTTTGGGTTTCAAAATAAATATATAAATAAGTAAAATAATGTCATTGCATCATGTAATAAGAAATTAGAGGGAGTTAGATTAAGTTTGAGTAGAAGAAGAAAACTTTTCAAGTTTTTTTTTAATCAACTCATTGGTTGGTTGAATCTTTTGTTTAATACCACAGTGAATCTCATCATTGTGTACATTTGCAAGAAATTAATTTAAAAACTAACTATGAAAAATAAAATAACTATAGGTAAATAGCAGAAAGATAAATAGAGGGAAGGGAACAGGGAAGAGAAGGAGAGGTATTAGGGACTGAATTAGAACAAGGTCTATTCCATGCTTTTATTATTATGTAAAATGGATTCTGCTGCATGTATCACTAAAAAAAGACGACCCCCACCAAAAAAAAAAAAAAAAAAAGAGTAAAGGAAAAAAAATGTCAAGTGCCTTCTCATTTCAAATTGAGTAGTCCCCAAATATGTCCTAAAGTCAAAGCCCATTGATTTCTGGATTATTATTCGTGATTTTTCTTCCTGTCCTTAGTGAAATTACTCTAGTCCACATTATTTACACCTGGATTTGTGAGACTTAGCCAACTTGACTTCCTTTTCTTTAGCTGATTCTCCCTCCTGCAAAATCAGTTGATGAAACTGTAATTCTTTTGATTCTCCTCTTTTTCTTCTCTCATCAGAATTTTCAGAGAACAGATTCTGCCCCACATAGAATCACACCCACCTCTTCTGTTTATGCAAAGACTACCTTTGAGTTCATCTCCTCTTGCATGACATTCCCTGGGCATGCTTCTAAATGTAACTCACTCTGCTCCTCTGCCTGCTGCTCCTCCATCAGCGCTGACCATAAGGACATGGCTTAAACCTGTAAACCAATTGACAGGGGTGAATATTTCCAGAAAGAATAGCGAGAATCACTGTTTCAGAACTTGTCTTCACCCAGCCAAGATGTAGATACACAGAAAGCAAAGATACAGCTGCTCAGTGTGGGCATTCAAAAAGCAATTTGTATGGGTTTGTGAAAGAAGGCATCCTTCCAGTGTTATTCATGCTACAGGATACTGATTATTTTCAATAAAACCTTTAAAATACTATACCCATCTGCAAGAAAGGTTTCTGAAATTAATAAATTCCCTGATACCTATCCATAAAACATTACTCTATCTTTTCCAGGATAAAGAAAAATTGGCAAAAAATAATTTCAGACTTTTGCCAAGATCGCTCAAAGAATTAGCTCAGAATCTGAGTCCCTGGGACCAAACACAAATACCGACAATTCAGGTGGGTTCCTACTTCATCCAAATGAGTTGACTCATTTCTTTTCCTGGCTGGATATTTTTAAGTGCTTACTGGTTGTTAGTCAGGGAAGAAGTGTTTTGTAGGTCATTAACTGAAATAAAACAAAATAAAAAAGGGCATTTCTCCTTTTGAATTTTTCCCGAATGCTTTGAATGGATTTCTATTGCATTATTGGTTGAGTATATTCTTGCCATGATAATCCACTTTTAGTAGCTTCATTTACATTAGCTATCACTCTGGAGAGCCATAGTAACAGGCCGCTCAATTACCCAAGAGAAATTACTCTTGAAAGTAATCATTGTGAATGAATTTCATCACTTGGTCTCATCATTTCATGCTGTTTTATCTCTTTCTTTTTTTTGCCCCTGATAAGAGTTAAACACAAAGAGGGCTTTTGTTATCATCTCATTTTCTTTAGGAAACTTAGTCTTATAAATCATAGCCACTGGTTTATAGAGACAACCAAAGTGTATCTTGCACACACACACACACACACATACAAACAAGTGAGTGTGCACACACATTTTTTGAAATGCTCTTCATTTTCTTATGTGGAACATTGTTTTAATTTACTTTAGTCTATAATATCTCACATAAATATGATTTTAATGTAACTTAACTCATGCAAGGAATATGTTTACAGGGAGTTTGGGATATTTAAACAGGAAAACTGTATTGAATCTGTTTCAGATTACCAACACAAAAAAAGTTGAAATTTAAAACTCTTGGCTGAAAACCTAGAATAAATGAAGAAGTAATACTGATAAATATTTAGCAAGTCCCTGTTCTATGTCAGGCCCTATTTTAAAGAATTCTTAAAGGGCTTTTGTGACTGTTGTTGATTAGTTTTGCATCATTTCATTAAACCTTATAACTCTGGTGCTGTAAGTTTTGTTATTTCCCCCCATTTTTTCAGATGAGGAAACAAGATTCCAGAAGATGCATAACTTTTCCAAACTCACATGGCCGTGAATTAATAGATTCAGGACTGAAACCCTAAAACTCTAATTTCTTAAACTTTCCATGATATTACATTACATGCTACTTAATAAATTCAAGGGTGAATGGGAAAATAGGAATTAAAATAACTACTTAGTGTTTTCTGTGGGATTACAAAGCACCAGCTAATGACATCGTTGTTGATCTTTTGAAAAAATTTCTCCCCAAATGTAATTTTCCATCCATTCAGAATGAACTTGGATTTTCACAAAGTGTCTGAAAGATAGAAGGTTTGGATTTCTTTGTTTGCTTTTGTTTATCTTTTAAAATTTATAAAGAATAGGCCAACAATGAGATGACCACTGGGGAACACAGACCCCAACAGCTGTTTTCTTCACCAAAAACACTTGCATTCAAGGTTATATTCAGTGGCATGAAGTCAGAGTTCTGTAGGTTGAGAAACTAACAGAAATTTCCACCAGTCTCTAATTTTTCAAAATTTAAACTTAAAGTAATAAAAATCACAATATCATCCTTTCCTAACTTGTGAATTTAATCATCAATACAGTTTGAAGATGTCGATTCTACCATTAATGCTCTGCCCCATGCCAGGCCCCTGTTGAGGCCTGAAGAATACACAGATCAACACAATGGGCATCTGCCTTTGTAGCTTCTACTCTGTGGAAAAGAGTTAACTGAACAGATTAAAAAATAAGTATATCATACAATACCATAACGTGGTTATTTCAATGAAGGAAAAAAATACAGATGGTGAGAAGGTAGAGACAGGTGCTCAGCAAAGTCCTGTCATAAACAAGGACATATGAAGAGTTTCTCTGAAGAGGTCACAGAGCCAGAATAAAGGGTTATGAGGACATCTAGGAAAGTTAGGTATAAGGAAGACAATTCTGTCCATTTTTGCTCTTCTAACCCTAATTATGTACACATCTATTTTTTTTTAACCTATTGGCCTCTTCCAGTTCCTACTCCCAGATCTATTTGTGATTAAGTTAATTTTTGCTTATTAAAGAATTGAAAATTTTTAAATTTTATTTTCAAAGCTGGGGAAAAAAAGGCACAAGTTGACCAGATATTTGAAAATTAACTCAAAAATGTAATTTAACTCATGCAAGGCATATGTATACAGGGACTTTGGGATATTTAAGCAGGAAAACTGTATTGAATCATTTCATAGATATTGTTAAAATTTCAATGTGCTCTGATATTATAGCATGATATTTTTACTTTTTCAAGTATTTGCCACTAATACATTCTCTGACAGCAAGTAACATTTTTCTTTTTTTCCCATGGATTTCATCAATAGGATGCTTAGACATATATTTTATTGCCCAATCAACTTAGTTTGAAATTCAGAATCAGTGGTCAAAATATTACCTATTATAAATTTATAACTACCCAACTTAGAAGGAGTTATTTAGAAAAATAGACTCTCTGCTGTGGTTGAAATGTGTCCCTCAAATTTCATGTGTTGGAAACTTAATCTCCAAACTCCTATCTTAATGGTATTTTGAAGTGGGACCTTTGGGAAGTGGTTTGAATGAATGGATCCATGGGTTATGATGGGAGTGATTTTGTTATAAAAGAGAGCTCTTTTGGCACATTTGCTCTGTCTCATCATTGATGCCCTCCATTGTGTTATGAGGCGGCAAGAAAGCCCTCACAGGGTGCTGAGTGGATGCCGGCATGCTTCTTAGTCTCCAGAGCTGTGGGCTAAATAAATCTCTATTCTTCATAAATTATCTGCTATTTGGTTATAGTGACAAGAAAATGGACTAAAGCTTTCCTGAATTCCGTCCTCTGCCCAGGCCTCCTTTCATTAGTCCTTGAATTACCTACTCTTCTTTCCTCAGGATCATTGACTGAGTTCAGGAGGTAGAATTTACAAAGCATCAATAGATGGTCTCATAGATTCCACAGAGCTTCTTCGGTTACTTTCCAAACTAAAATGATTAGAGAAGCTTTTAGTTCTTTTTTGGCCCTGAAGGTTTTCCCACAATGGCAGTTGGTCACAATGTATGTGTGTGTGTGTGTGCAGAGCTGAGACTAGGGCATCCAGAGATTAAAGAGAAAGATTGAAGGTTAAGAAATGTCTGCCCAATAATCCAGATGTCTGGATTTAGGTTAGAAAGAGACACCACATGTCTAAATAGACCTGTGTGTAGAAGCCCTTTACTTTTTTCTATCAACCATCTATAAACTTGTCCTTGGTGCCTTGATTTACCTTGAAGAACCATTCCTAATCTCTGAGGCCTCCCAGATGGAGTAGGACGGAAGTCCTTTCCTGGCCACCCTGGGATGAATGAATAGCTAGAACTAGTGAGTCCAGAGAATTTTATCCCCCTTCCTTGGAATGGGAGCTTGACCCATGTCAGTCCAGAGAAGCGTAATGCCAGAACTTAGGCTGGACCAAAGACACAGAGAAGTTCCCTTTTCTTGGAGCACTAAGATAGCAGTGTGTGAGTCTGTGACTGCCAGCCTCTATTTTGGAAAGGAATCCATTGAAGGGGAAAGCAACGAAAGAGGTAGGGAAAGAGACAGTTTAGTTCTGTAGTAGTGCCTGGTCCTTGGATTGAGCTACGTCTGAAGCCAGTTTTTCTCATGGACTTCTCAATTATCGCCTGTAATTCCTTGCAATTTGATCTGGGTCTATATTTTTTACAGTTGAAGAACTTCTAATTAGGGAAGACCATAGATCTGATAGGCAGGAAATCAAAGCAGAGTGATGTAAAAAGACTAGGCATTCAAAGACTTGGTACTCATATGGCTACCATGTAGAGATGATTGATATAAGGGAACAAAACACCAACCTAAGCCTGATTCTGTAAGACCCACTTGCCCTCTGGCCTCGAAAACATTTTGTGTGTGTGTGTGTGTGTGTGTGTGTGTGTGTGTGTGTGTATGGTAGTACTGGGATCACAGATATTCAGGACTCAACTATAGCTTGAGAAAGAATCTGTCTACTGAGGTTCATGTTAGCCTGGTTTTGCTTGGATCTCAATAAGAAAAATTGGGTTTATTAAGAAATTATTTCCTGGTATGCCTTCCCAAAGAGCTATATAATCAGTAAAAAGATTTCCGAATTTTTACTACTTACTACATGTGGTCATCACTAATGCATTTCATGCTTTCTGAGCTTATTTTCCTTCTTGGTATAATGGAGGAAAATTCTATTACTTAATTCTCATAGCAGTTCTATAAGGTAATTATTAATAATTATAGTTAATTGTAGTAGTATATGGTGCATTCTATCCTAGTGCAGGTCACAGAGCAGCTTTTCAATATGTGTTAATATAATATAAGTTCAAGCTTGTTATTTATCTATATCTATCTGTCTATCTATCTATCTATCTATCTATCTATCTATCTAAATAATGTAATTGGATTTATGGAGGTGACATATCATTTACCCATCAACTCAGGGTAAGAGAATATAGAATGTAAAATAATATCCGTAAGAGGCAATTTGCTAAGCCATATTCTATTGTATTGAAAAAAATAGTGAATAATCAATTTAGTTTAGATAAAACCAGGTAGCACGAAATTACATATACTGTTAACTTTAGAAAGCAAACAATACCTCAAAGACTGGTAGCAGACTTGTCTGAGT